TTTTCCCTTCTTATTAACTATCACCTTCTTTACTCTCAAACATATATTTCCTTCTAATGAACTGTATGAAGCATCACTGATTGAGAAAACATTTTTAGTTTGAACTTTGAACATATACATAGTTGAATACTGGGATAAGAAATGTGTGCTACCCTGAGCTCTGAAACCATCTCATCTTCGTTCTATTGGTTAACATTTTTCATAGGCTTTTCTGTTGAAGCTGTTATGTACTTCCTAGGATTGAGTAACCCAGGCTCATTAAGCAAATAGTTTTCCACATTGCATTGATGGAAAGTTTGGATTAGACCGTCACTAAAGAGAAAAAATTAAGCTCATAAAATTTTGGATCAAGACTCACTAACTCAATTGGGTTCAATTATTTAAAATGAATTTCTGTATTTGCATTAAGACATTATTATTATTCGGTTATTAGTTAGATAATTATTTCGAACCAATGATATTTTTTCTTGAAAGGAACCAACGGAGGCTGAAATGGAAGGTGTAGATTGTTCTAATTATGTGTTATAAAATTATTGGTATGAATTTCATAGTCATTAATTTTGGACCGGGGTGACTTGTGAGACTTCAAGAGTCTGAGATGTTCGCAGTTTACTAAATTACATAATGTATATTTTGCTCTAACTTACACGCCATATGTGCCTTAAATTAAGTAATATTCTGCCTGTTTTAAAGTTTCTCAATAGCACATTAAATTTAGATGAAGTACTGCTTTATTTGAAAATTTATAATAGTGGGAAATATTTTTCAGGTTATTACTTTTTAAACTTCGAATTATTATTCAGATTATCCCTCCAAACCAATTCATGGTAATTTCTTAACTTATTTAGGTAATTCATAATAGTAGGAAATATTTTTATATCCCAAAAATTAACATTACGATTATTAAAGGTTAAACTTCATTTGAGCTTAAATTAGTTTCCAATATATCATCATTAATGCCCTCTTATATCTATGTAATTTAATGCCTTTAGTTTCTAATATGTTATTATTTTATTATTATTACATAATACGTACACATGAATATAACTTCTTTTTTGCAGTTCTTCCTACCGTTTTTGCAGCAAACAAGGTGCCTGTCAAGGAAGTGAGTTGTGATGGTTCAAAGAAAAACACTTGATTTATGAATTGTTGAATTAGTAAACAAAGCTGAAAAGGTAATAATCACAGACCCATAGGTGCATAAATAATGGGAATGAACATATACAGGTAATAAATATGCAGTGTGTTCTCTTGAACATAACTAAATAAACAAGACTGTTTGATATTTTTTTATTAAACCCGGAGTTAATCCAAAACCCCATCAATGTCTGTTTGATACAAAAATAACAGAGGCTCACAAAACTAGGAACATACATGTACATGCCTCTCCTCTAAAATGAAAAAGGTGGTAAGTTAGTTGCGGTTTGTGACATCTCTGGTGCAAGAGAAAAAATATTAGCATTCATGATCTAAATAATAACGTCAATGCTGAATCTTAGGTTAAAGGTTTACAAGTGAATATGCAATGTTTTTGGGTTTAGCGGTCTATTCAAATATATGAATTTGGAAAGAGCACAGGCTAAAGAGTGGGCTGAGTGGATGAAGGATATTCATATGAAGAATTGATGTCATTTCATATTTTTGATCTTTGTATCTTTCTTATATTCTTTATTTTTCTATCTTAACAGTCATGTTAATTGACACAAAACTATTTTGGGATTAAGGTTTGGTTGTTATTATTGTAATTGTCTATTCAAACCATCCAACTAATCCAAGTGCCCGTAGCTTTTGAATAGGTCCTATTGGGCATTGGCTGGATGAAATGTAAAAGTACTTATGTTCATATTGGTTTGATTAAATTAATTTATGTTGCTCTCCATTAATTGATTTTGAGTGTGAAACCCTCTACTATTCCTTTACTTTACGAATTCGTGGCAATGAATTACATTGGGCGACAATTTTATGTGCATAGGCGTTCAGTTTTTAAATTGTTCATGATATGTTTTAATGATGATACCTCTCCACTTTTTATATGGTTAACCAATGGTTACTATTGATAAGATGGACATTTTTTGAAATTGTGAGTGATTAATTGTGCAGTCCTAATTTTACACATGAATAACTGTGACTTGCGAGGGTGAGAAGTGCGTTCGATTTAAATTTTGTGATGTGCAATGATGGAAGTTGGTGAAATAATTCAAAAGTGTTTTCTAAAATGAGGTCTTCAACAATTTATAATGTGTGTTGTTATTAAACTTCTAATATTTGTTTTTTTTAATTTCTCTCATTTGTGTAAACAATAATGTTGCAAATTTATGTACATGTCTATATATACTTTAATTATTAACATTTACGATAGTATAATATTTGCATATTACATTGTGCAGTACACTGGTGAAATACTAAACTATTCCAAATAAATGGTAAAAAATGTAAACTATTCCAAATAAATGGTAAAAACTCTGACATAATCTTATTCCAAATTTCATAAATGTACTTATCTTACTTAGAAATTATACGGGATTAAATCATTGGTCAAAGAGAAGATTTTTTTGAAGTCTAATGACCTTAATCTTATATTGAAACTCACATATCTTTTGAAATAATTTAATGCCTACGAATTGCAGCCCGTGCAACGCACGAGTGAAAATTCTAGTTGTCATATCAATTATATTTCATGCCCGCCAAGTATTGTGCGGAAACAATGTCAATAATTAAAAGTATATGGTTATATTTATGACCTGTTTTGTTTTTATATATGAAATAGTTGTAAATATAAGAAAAAGGACACAAATATTACTTGTAGTCTTTTAAAATACGAAATGCGATTATTTTTTTCCCAAAAATATGACTAACTTTTTTGTTTAATTAATTCATTTTTTTGTCATTGTAATTTATATTCAATTTCTCCCCCAGCCCACACTTGCCTAGCAGCCTTCGCCACCGGAAACTTCCATCGAAATCACTGTTAGAAACCGCAGTAAAAAATGGTAATATTTGTTTGGTTTTCTATTTTTTTATTCACCAAAAGGCATTAGATGAAATTTTAGATTTGATAATTATAATGTTTTTAGATTTGATGAAATTTTGGATGAATTGACCGAAATGAGTGAATCTGTTGAATTGTTGAAACAATTAAGAGCCCGTTTGGTGAATCTGTTTTCGCCTTATCATCGAACTTTTTAATCAAATATTTAACTTTTGATTTTGCACGCAATATTGTGTAATAATAAGAAAACATAAGGTTGATGTTACTTTTTTGGCTATATTTGCTGAAATAACTATGGATGACCATTTTAACTATTTTTTCACGAAGTATAATTTTATTCATAAATCAACATAATCAGTCAATACAACCATTTCAGCCAGAATTCCATAAATATCAGCAGAACCAGCCGATTTAAATGTTACCAAACGAGCTCTAAGTTCAAAATATTTTTTGTAAATAAAATAAAAAGTATATGAACATATCGTTAAAGAAGGCATATTAAGCAAATTGAGCTAATTTAGATTGGTTGTACACTGATTAGGTGTATATTTGACACAACTAGATAAAAAGATGTTTTATGATGTTTTTAGTAACGGTTAAATTTTAATGGCTGAAAAATCCTAGAAGAAAGAAGTGGTAACTGCTTAATAAAGATGTTTCTACTTGGATCGTTTTGAGTCCCAGACCAGACCAGACTTAAACAGACCAAATCAGATCAGACCATACGTGACTTCCGTAGTTATAAAATACACAGAGATCAGACGTTTATCAGACCGAATCAGATCAATAAATTACAGTCCAAGTAAAAAAATCCTAAAAGCCGACTGTTTGATTTGATTTTGTTTAATTTACAAATTGTTCTGATTAATTGATCCTAAAAGCTACATACTTTTTTGAGATGCCACTCTGCGTAACTTCTCAAAAAAGGAAAATGGGTCAAATAAGACCTTCTATTCTTACAGATCATCATACAAGGTTATTTACTCAATAAAGTGCCATATAGATACGTCTACTTTTAAAAAGCAATCAGATGAGTCCTAAACTCCTAATGACCTCTTGAAAATCTCCTAATTGCAATTTTAGCTTACATGTTACGGAGTATTAATTTTGTCTTGTATTTAAGCAAATCTTGGCTAAATATTTCACGTCAATCTTATAATCTGCTCTGTATGTTGATGACATAGCAGGATGCATGCTAGATTCAGGATTACAGGGTTGTCAAAGAGTCGTTCGGACTCATCTAATTGTTTTTTATTAAGTAAATGACCTTATGTGAGTATGTGATGAATTCATAATAGTGAAAGATCTTAGACCTTTTTCTAAAAAATGTTTTTTAATAGATTTTATTTACGGAGTACTACAGGAGTACGTAGTACTCCTTCCGTCCCAAAAACAACTTCTCACTTTCCTTAAATGGATGTCTCAAAATTAACTCCACACTTCAATACTTTCCTTATTTGGCAAATTATGTACATCAAAACAGTGCCAAACAGTGTCAAACAGTGTCCAAATAGTGTCTGACAGTGTTTAAAGTCTTTAAACAGTGCAAAACAATACATTTGAAAGTAAAATCAAATTTGTTTTGTTAATATGCGTGAATATCAAAAAGTTTAATACCGGTGGGCGTAGCTCAACTGGTAGTAAGGGAGTGCCACAAGGGTTAGGTCTCGGGTTCGAATCCCGGCAACTGCGATGAGGGGTTACTATGCTGAAAAATGCATAGGACCTCTGCAAGTACCGGGGACAGAGCCCCACTCTCTATCTGTCAGATTGTGATTATAGTCCAATTTACATCCTCCCATCGTGCCGTCCGGTCGGTGGTGGGGGCCCTCAGGGATGATGTGTCATCTTTTTTTTTTTTTTTATCAAAAAGTTTAGTGGATCATCTCCTCCGTATACATCTCCTGATGAAATCAATCAATGCTATGAACTGACAAAAACAACAGCGGAAACTTCGCGGAAACTGCTCATCTTTGGCTCTGACGCATATCAACTACGGAGTATAAATGAGCTCACCTTCGTGCGCTCCTCTCAAACCCCACGCGCCCGACTCCTCCCAATCTCCAGAGCCGTACCCGCTCCTTTCACAAACTCTCATTCTGATTTTATCCTCCTCCCCCTTTTTTCTTTTCAACACTAAATTAATTATATATATAAAAAATTGGAATTAATAATAATTAGGAATGGCGAGTGCGGCGGCGCAGGACCAGCAGACGGCGTGGCTGCTGGAGAACGGGAACATCAAGCTGCTGAGCAAGGAAATGAGGCACGGTCACGGGCAGAGCTACGGCGGCCGGACGGCGCACAACATGTCGTCGTCGTCGCTCCGGAAGAAGTCCGATCTGACGCTTGTGAAAAAAGTGCGGTGCGGGTTTCTGCGGGACCTACTCATTTCTCTTCAGGAAGTGTTTCTCGGGACTAAGCTTTCAATTCTGTTCGTCGCCATCCCTTTTGCCATTCTCGCCCAGTATCTCCACTACCAAAGGGTACTCAACTCACTTTTCTAGACATAATAATAATAATATTAATACAGAGTAATAATAGTATTAATATAGACTTATGGAGTAATAATCATCATATACGTAGTAATAATCATAATAATAATACTCTGTAATAATAATAAAAATATTACTCGTATTAAATATTAACAAAAATATGACTAATAAGTAATAATACATACTATGTGATATAATAGCATAGTCGTTTAAATGTAAAAACCGAACACTTGTATATAACCATTTTATAATTAAACAAATTTTATAATAGCTTGATAATTTACGTACTCCATATATGAATATTTCTAGCAACAATAACAATAGTTTTTTCACTGCTTTATAATATACTCCGTATTAGACAAATTTTACCGTTTCTTCAACGTACCTGTCTACTTCAAGGAACTAATGAAATCTGTTATAGGTGTGTACCTCTTACGGAGTATTCGTTGAGTGTAGTTGCATTAACGTGCTCTTTATTAGTTACTTTAATAAAGTACCTATTTGACTTCATATATACGAACGTAGTATTAAATAAATAAATTTACTGCACATTAAATTTTACACCATTTAATATACGTTAAATTTTACCTATTTGACTTCATATATACGTACAATATTTTGCACCATTTAATATAAATTTATTTACCAAATACAAATACAAATGTGACTACACATCATTTATATACTCCCCACCACTTCATTAAGTTGTAAGTCATGCATGGTGCTCTGTAATACTCCGTATTTAAGTTATTATTAGGCTTTAAAATTAGATCCTAGATATATAGAAATGTAAATAATAAAGTTTTGTTGAATCTTACAACTAAGTAGGTTTGTCAACCTACTTTTTGACTAAACTTGTAATTTTTGATTTCATGTACTGAATTGTGTAGTAATAATAAGAAAACGTAAGGTTAAAGTTACTTTTCTGGCTGTATTGACTGAAGTTACGATATATATTTGTAGTGATTTTAACTATTTTACCTATTCTTTCATAATTTATTTTAAATATAAATTTTCATAAATCAGCAAAATTTGCTAATGCGACGAATTCAATCAGAATAAACTATTCAACTTCATTGTTACCAAACAAGTTCTAAAATTTGTATATAATTAAAACAATTGGTATCTTATCTATATTTTGAAAATGTAAGTGCTAGCTTTAATATTGCTAATATATACTCTGTATACTAGGTCCCTCCCATTTCTATATATGTTCTTGTGACTTTAATTTGAATTGATAAATTAATTAATAAAATGAAATTGTACACTTGTAACCTGATGTAATAAAGGAGGGAAATGTTAAACATACACATCAAATATTTCATTAATAGTCATGTCGCACTTGTTAAATGTAAAATCAAACAGTTTGAAAACAAAAAAAGGAGGTTAGTAGAAAGTTTGTTACAATAATCAACACAACCGGAAATTATTACTCCGTATACTCTAATATAATAATCTAATGCATCTGACACTGTGGTTTAATTATTGGTTTTAATGGGTTTTCTCTTTTGATATGTAAACAATACAGCCATGGGTTTTTGCTTTGAGCTTACTTGGACTCATTCCACTGGCGGAACGCATCAGCTTTCTCACAGAGTAAGCATAAATTCATTAAAAGTAATTAGCGGCTACTGATTATAAGCCTACTAATAGTTAGGTGGAATTTGAAACTAATAGACTAATAGTCACTTCACTCACTTGAGAATTGAGATTAAACGGTGTTAATATAGAAAAAAAACAAAAACACGAAAGTTAGTGTGATACGTAACTTATGAATTAAAATCCACAAAGAAGTGAATACTACAGAATATATTTTGATATTTAGTGAGGGAGACTGATAAATCGTACTCCGTACTAGATGACATGAGTTTGAAAAGTCACATTTCCAATATATTTTAATAATATTTCGTATATAAGCTTAAGATACATGTGATACATAACATAATTTCACCTTATAATGTGTCATTGTCGTGTCTATCTCTAAAGTTGCTGAAACTGTAAATAGGTAATTTTTCTTCATACTTGCTTTATATGGATATCAGACAGAGCTAGAAAATAACAGGCTGCCCGTATTTTATTTCAACTGTGTAGATTTTAAAATTTACCAAATCACATAATTATAATTATTTTTCATCTTCTCTTTCTATTTTTTGTAACCTTTCTTAGAGAAGATTTGCAATTTTAATTAAGCAACTCTCGGGCTCTGCTCATTATTAGTCCAATAACTAATAAATCTTGACAATTTAATGACTTTTCTTTGTAAGTACATTTTCTGTCTAAAAGGATGCTGCCAACATCGAAATTTCTCCTAGAAAGGTGTACTTTTCGGTGAAAAAGTTCTCAACTTGCAAATATTTATTAGTTACCGGACTAAATCTACGAGCAAGTAAATATAAGAGAGAATTCCCTAAATAGGAGTAAAAACGTTTTGGAATTCCAAAATATGAGTATTATGTTTTTTATTCCCTGAATAGGAGTAAATTTCTGCCAATTTTGGCATTACAAGGCTTTAAACATGTCATTTTTTCCAAACTTGGCAGATTACTCCTATTCATAGAATAAAAAACATGATACTCCTATTTCAGAATTTCAAAACGTTTTTACTCTTATTTAGGGCAATTTCTGTAAATATAATTGTGGGTACAACCTAAAGTTACGAGACTAAAATTGCAAATTCCTTTCTTTAGATATTATATAGAGTTTTTCACTTTAAATTTCCTACCAACATTGCTCAAAACTGATTTGATTTTACTTGTTTGTTTGTGCTGGATATGTAAAGACAAATAGCCTTCTACACGGGTCCAACAGGTATCTCTAAAATTTGAGCATTCCTTAATATACACCATTCCCTATCTAAATTGCCAAATGTTGAACACTCGTGATGAATTCTTTAGATATGCTGATATCTCCTAAAATCACTGCACATTTACTTATGTTATGACTGGAGAGAAAATTGATTTGGAAGGGAGCGACTATAATATTCTATTTGGTAAGACAAGTATGTATATAGTGTTGCTTTAGACAAGAGAATCTATAGTAATCAACTATTTAAGAAATCCTATAAAAATCAACAAAGAACTGTCTATGTATACAAGCAAAATTAGTGCGCACAAGTAGTGTACAAAAGGCGTATTTTTGTTTCACATTTAAAGGAATGCACATGGTCCCCAACAGGGAAAACCCGGAATGTTAAAGAAGGAATTTTAACTTGAGGAGACCTAAAATTCTCAAGAAATTAACCCCGTATTTCTGAGATTGTAAATGTCACCTCTCAATTGTCCAAATTGTTGTGACTGTTTCAGAACTAAAAGTGCTATTTTTCCCTTAAAAATTTATGAAATTTCATAACGACAACATAAATGTTTCATTTAAACAAGTTAAGTTGGGCTCCAATGATTGGGAAGAAGAATTGGTGAAAATTCTACTCCGTAGTTGATAAAACAAAATAGTGTGGAAGTAAAAACAACGTGTAAATGAGTCGACCACGTACGATGTTAATGTAGCAGTACATACGTACGTACGTCAAGAATAAATGTGCATATTGACTAAATTGTTTGAATGATGGATTTAATTTGTTTATTTTAATATTATTGGGGATAAAAATTTGTTGATTGAATTGACAGTTGGAGGGCTTCTAAATGCGACATGTGGCAATGCTACGGAGCTGATAATTGCAATATTCGCTCTGGTACAAAACAAAGTGGATGTGGTCAAGTACTCTCTTCTCGGCTCCATCCTCTCTAACCTTCTTCTCGTCCTTGGCACTTCCCTCCTCTGTGGTGGCATTGCCAACATCTCTCACCCACAAAATTTCGATAGAGTATGTGATATTTAGTTGTTATTATTATTATTATCAAGCCACACTCATTATTTATTTTTATTATTTAAAGATGAAAATTAATGATATAAATAGTAAACTAGTCCCCAAACTTATACATATGTCTATTATTTAATAGTTCTATCAAAAGTCATTTGCCAAATCTGATTTGCAAGTAAGAATGTTTTTAAATGAGTTGATTTCAGTTCTTGACCATACCATATCAGACTTAAACACACCAAACTTAGACAATAGTAAAATACATATACATCTTACGTTTATGAGACGTCATTCAGACCAGACCAACAAAGTCTGGTTAAAAACATCCTATGTAGGGCTGCATGACTAATAACGGATATGGAAGTAAATGATAAATATGCGAAAACCACACAAATCTTACCAATTATTTTGTCATTAGATAAAATGCTATACGTAGTATTAGTATTTAATCAAATGACAAAAATGTTACTAGCACATTTCAACTACAAAGACGCAATTACCAGCATGTAACTTACTATTAGGATTGGTGACTGTTGATGACATTTTTGTCAAAGAACTACAGACTGCGGGTTAATACTTTTGTGCAATGAATACTTATTAGTTAGTAATATTCGAGGGAAAATCCGTATGTATAACAGATATACTAATGTTGATTGATTAATTGAACAGAAACAAGCGGATGTGAACTTTTTCCTCTTGCTGTTGGGGCTATTGTGCCATGTTCTTCCTATGATGTTTCTACATTTAAGTGGTGGAGAGAACCCTGCTTCGACTGCTCAAGCAACTCTTGCTCTGTCAAGAACTAGCTGCATTGTCATGATCCTCGCTTACATTGGTTATCTCGTCTTTCAACTCTGGACTCATCGACAACTCTTTGATGCCCAAGATGTAAGTATTAAGATTTTGCTCCATCCTAAGTGATAGTAAGAGTAGTTGCCGTGCTGGAAATGACGTATTTGGGAGTAGAAACTTGAAAATTTTACTTGGGGACCACAACTTCATGGAGAAAATTTGCGGAGGCATGACCCCTATTTTATATGAGTTGACATTGTAATTTGTTTTTGGACATGATTCCTTAATAAGCTCATAAAATAGTGGCTCATCTAAACACATTAGTCTTTGGAACTTTATGTGCTATTTTGAGCCATTTTGTGATCAATTTGCTCATTCGAATAATCGAATCTAATGAGTTTTCATATCATATTAAAACTTATTGTATCATGAAAGTATGGCATTAGACAAAAAGTATTGTCATATTCAAACATTCATGTCATTAAAGGTATATCATATAAGGTTATAAAGAAGTTTAGCTCAATAAGAAACATTAAACATTGATGATAACACTTGGTAAATATTATTTATATTAACACAAATGCCTATGTAAATGAACTAAACAGGAAGATGGAGAGAATGGAAGCGGAGAATCAGAGGAAGAGCCGTTGATGGGATTTTGGAGTTCATTTATTTCGTTGGTTTTGATGACCGCCGTGGTAGCTCTCTTGTCTGAATTTGCTGTTGACACAATTGAGGTGAGGATTAAAGGCATTATTTATTAGTTAATTCACATTTTATTTTCTACCATTTGTGAGATTTTATGTAATCGCCCACAAGCATAACACAAACGGAATTAATAATAAATTATAATTGTGTCCTTGGAGGTTTACAAGTTACAAGATATGACAAGGATCAAAAGACTAAACCAAGTGTGAGAAATATAAGTGAAAATGAAATAGAACAATACTAAGTATAATATAACAAGACAATGTAAATTCTAACATCATTAAAATCATTATCATCATATTATTATTATTATTATTATTATTATTATTATTATTATTATTATTATTATTATTATTATTATTATTATTATTATTATTATTATTATTATTATTATTATTATTATTATTATTATTATTATTATTATTATTATTATTATTATTATTATTATTATTATTATTATTATTATTATTATTATTATTATTATTATTATTATTATTATTATTATTATTATTATTATTATTATTATTATTATTATTATTATTATTATTATTATTATTATTATTATTATTATTATTATTATTATTATTATTATTATTATTATTATTATTATTATTATTATTATTATTATTATTATTATTATTATTATTATTATTATTATTATTATTATTATTATTATTATTATTATTATTATTATTATTATTATTATTATTATTATTATTATTATTATTATTATTATTATTATTATTATTATTATTATTATTATTATTATTATTATTATTATTATTATTATTATTATTATTATTATTATTATTATTATTATTATTATTATTATTATTATTATTATTATTATTATTATTATTATTATTATTATTATTATTATTATTATTATTATTATTATTATTATTATTATTATTATTATTATTATTATTATTATTATTATTATTATTATTATTATTATTATTATTATTATTATTATTATTATTATTATTATTATTATTATTATTATTATTATTATTATTATTATTATTATTATTATTATTATTATTATTATTATTATTATTATTATTATTATTATTATTATTATTATTATTATTATTATTATTATTATTATTATTATTATTATTATTATTATTATTATTATTATTATTATTATTATTATTATTATTATTATTATTATTATTATTATTATTATTATTATTATTATTATTATTATTATTATTATTATTATTATTATTATTATTATTATTATTATTATTATTATTATTATTATTATTATTATTATTATTATTATTATTATTATTATTATTATTATTATTATTATTATTATTATTATTATTATTATTATTATTATTATTATTATTATTATTATTATTATTATTATTATTATTATTATTATTATTATTATTATTATTATTATTATTATTATTATTATTATTATTATTATTATTATTATTATTATTATTATTATTATTATTATTATTATTATTATTATTATTATTATTATTATTATTATTATTATTATTATTATTTATTTGGTCAACAAAACACTTCCATCATAATAATACTCCCTCCGGTTCTTTTTAAACTTCAGTGTTTGACTTCACAGTTATTAAGGAAATAAAGTTGACTTTACTGTAGAGTACACTGTTGAGACACTGTTTGACACTGTTGAGACACTGTTTGGCACTGTTGAGACATTGTTTGGCACTGTTTAGCACTGTTTAACACTGTTTTGATATATATTTCTTTGCCAAATAAGGAAATAAGGAAGTATGAAGTTTATTTTGGACCGTCCCAAAAAGGAAAGTGTGAAGTTTATTTAGAACCGGAGGGAGTCATCAGGGTCTTGGGGGATATCCGTGAGCTTCATTGGTGTAATTTTGTTGCCAATTGTTGGGAATGCAGCAGAGCATGCTGGTGCTATCATTTTTGCGTTCAAGAATAAATTGGTAATTAGAACTACCAATTAGCAAAAAAATCTTGAATAATTAATAATAATAAAGTGCCTAAACAGAATTTTTATTTTATTTACTTTATTTTGTAATATAGGATATCTCTCTCGGAGTGGCACTTGGTTCAGCAACACAAATTGGTATATTTGTGGTAAGTCTTGTATTGATTATTATTAAATTACTATGATATGCGTCTTTTATTTATATTTAGATGTAATACGGAGTAAAATATTTTTTAAAATGATAATAACAATAGTAATGAATTATATATATCCAGATTCCTTTGACTGTGATTGTGGCATGGATCGTTGGAATTAAGATGGACCTTGCTTTCAGTCCCATAGAAACAGGCGCTCTTGCTTTGTCTATAATTATCACAGCCTTCACTTTACAGGTTTTTTTCTTTTAATTATCTGTATTGAGTTATTTCCTTAAAAAATCTCCAAAACTGCCATTAAAAAGAGGATTATAGTTATTTAAACCAATTCTTTAAAAAAAAAGTTATTTAAACCAATTAAACGTTATGGTTTTTTATGCAGGATGGAACGTCTCACTACATCAAAGGGCTTGTGCTTCTATTGTGTTACATTGTGATTGGGGCATCTTTCTTTGTTACTCAAGGGCCACCAGGTAAATCAAAACACCATGAAGATTACATTGTGATTGAGTTTCAGACTAAATATGCTGTCAAATTGTAAACCTGAAGTATTATATTTTTTTCTATTAAATTTTAAAATATACCGCCGAGAACGGATCCAAAAGCACAATAAGAACTATGATTGCCATGTTTGAAGTTTGAAAAAATAGTACTCCGTATCAATGACTCAATTGTAATTTTAATGTCTGGTAATGTTAAAATATGAGAAGATGAATTCAGTTCAAATGGCGGGAGTTTACACTTCACGCCTTCTGCAGGAAAAGGGAAGTTGTTTAATTTATTTTAATTTTTTTTGTCTAAGTTTGTATTTTTATATGTGACCGTAATAGAATGTCTGAGCTTACATTTATTTCCGTGATGGTCAGGGGCATCACAACCTCTCCATTTGAGACCAAACCACGGAATCTTGGGAGCTTGATGGAGTTTTGTGATAGATGGATGATAAGTGAGACATTCTTTTGTTTGGATTGATGATCAGCTTTTAGAGTCTTTTGTGTGGAAGAAAAATGTAAAGCTTTAATAAAACAGGTGGTTAGTATGGTTGATGTGTGGATCAAGTCACCTAATTTTTTTGCTTGTGAGAGGAGACTGATGAGCGAAATATGTTTACATAATTACATATATAGAATATGTTGAGTTTGTTTGTGTAAATTAAAGCTAACTAATACATTAGCCAAATATTTAAGTTACTCCATTCTCATTTCACTTCATCAGCACATTCATGTTAAATCCAGGAATTATCTACATCAATTATGAATAGCATAAAAATCAAATGCAAATAAATATTTAGGTGAAAAAAGGACAACTTGAATCAGTAGAATAGTAGAATACCATTCCATAAGAGATAAGTTAAGGAGAATGAGTAATGACATCCATTATATGAGAAGGCTGTCAAAGCAAAAACAGTTTCTCATATAGGTTTGCCACTCCCCTTTCCTCTTCATTCTCCCTCTTTCTAGTCATGGACTCGGGTCCGGATTGGGTCTAGGCCAGGCCTAATTTTTTTGATGTGGACCAGAGACCAGCCCGGTGGTTAGCCGGTTACGGGTCGGGCGATTACAATTTTTTTTAATTAATTAACTTATAAAGTGCAACATATAAAAAAATTAACATATATTTATCTTGAAATATGGTCTATAGACTATAAAGACTACAAGTCCACAATTGAGAATTGTGGAAAAAATTCAAACATGAAATACATTTTATAATAAATTGGAAGTACAATTGAGAATTCCGGAGCTCATTTTATAATATACATTTGAAATACATGAGAATTGAGAAGTTCTAATCAATCGGAATCTCCGCCATAGTTAGAGCCACCCTCGGTTGTTGATTCATCCATAAAGTGTTTGGAGGGGTGATGCTAAGTTCTTGAGTTCTAGGTTGGGCCTTCAACCAATCGTGGTAGCATACAAGCGTCTCGAGAGAGTTTGCACTCAATCTCGTTCTAGAATCCGTTAGGACGTTGCCGGCCGAACTAAATCCTTGTTCCACGACGACTGTTGAAACCAGCATTGATAGCACTTGCTTAGCCATCCGTGCTAAAATCGGGAACATTCTTTCTTTTCCCTTCCACCACTGTAGAACGTCAAATTCTTCATCTTCTTCATAATCAACAAGATATGTTAAATACAAAATAAGCTCGTTAACTGAGCTTTGTTCACTAGCGGGAATTGTTTTTTTTCTTCAAAAGATTGCCAAAGACAGATTTTAAAATTGATTTTCCTTTAGATAATGAAGATGTTCGTGTCGGGGAGGAGATACGTTGCCATATTGTACATGAAACTCATTAAATAATTCATAAAATAAATTACTAACCTAGTTGTATTCTTTTTTAGGATCTATGTGGTTATCTTCATACATTGGAAATTCACCCAAAAAAAGCAAGATAATAGAAGTTCAAACATTCTTTCAAAGAACCAAGTCTATAACGAGGATCAAGAATAAATGCAATACCATAAATATACAGAATATGTGCATAATATTTTAAAAACTTTTCTTGCATAAATTCACAAAAATAAATCACGTAAGGGGCATTCGAAAATTCATTAAAAGCACCGGCGAGATTAACAGATTCACGAATAAATTATTTTGACGTTGGTTTATAAACATGACTAAAAGTTTCAGTTGTATGTGAACAAAACTTGTACAAAGCTTCATTTTTAGCACGGATCAATGGAAAATTTTGTTTTTGCTAAGAAATTGAATCTTGAAAATTCTGCGAGAAACATTTTTAAGTAATGTTTTTTATGTGATACTTGTGTTGTTACTTTTCACCAAATATGTTTTTTTGTTTACTCCAGGGGGGGCTGGGGGAGGGGGCTGGGAGGAGCCTGGAGTAATCAGGGCTGAAACTCACTCCATTGAGTTTTCAACCCTTGTGTGCCTAGCGGGATTCGAACTCAAGACCTCCCACTAGGCACGGTAATTAACCTCACAACTAATTGGGCTGGAATGCTTGATTTACTTTCCACCAAATATGTAATTTAAATAATAATAACAAAATGAGTATCGTTTTTATTTAATGACCTTTATCAGACGATTTTATTATAATTATTATTTTAAATAAATATTGTTTTTTTTACTTGAATATAAGCCCAAAATATTATCCCGCTCATAGGCCCAAAAATAGACAGGACCGGCCCTGCCTATGACGACGAAGACTCTGGAAAGTCCTGGGGTTCGGACGACGCTCTGTTGGTTGTATGCTGTAGACAACTGGGTTTTCTTTTGTGCTTTGGACCGGACTCATATTCCTGATGGGCCATCTTGTATATCCCACTCTCATTTTGTATCATTACGAGTATTTTATTTTACTTAACGGGTCATGCTTTGTATGTAGAGCTGTTAAACGGTTCAACCCGATCCGTGACGGGTTATGCTTTATGTGAGTTGGGTCGAGCCAACCCGTTTAGTGAATGGCTAAAATTTCTACAATCCTAACCCGACCCACCTAACTCGTGAGTTAAACGGTTTGGCCCGCGGGTCAATGTAAAAAATATACTTTGTATAACAAAATATTTTTCAAAAATAATTATCATGGAGTATATTTTATATTAGTATGTAGTAATAAGGGATATATAAGAAATCAAAATACTAAGAACTCAATACTTGTTGAGTTTAATTAAAAAAATACATTAAATACTAGTTATACGAGAATTTGAAAACTATGTGAAGGTATGTAACAAAAATGCTCATTGTATAAAAGTAAAGATCTATTTAAACATTTTGATTTATTATTTGTAAATCATAACTAGTAATTTCAAAATATTGTATCAAAATTCACATAAAATATATGTGCCAACATTTTATTTGAACATTTATTATAGAAATAATAATTATTTTGCAATTGTTGTATTTTTTAATTGTAATTATATCATAATATTTTTGGTAGTAAAAGAACAATATTGAAGATAATAAAAGTCAAAACTACATGTTTGTATATTGGCCCATGGGCCAACCCGCAAACTGTTGGGCCAACCCACTTAAACCCGCAACTTGTTGGGCCGACCCACTTAAACCCGCGAACTAAATGGGTCAGAACTTCACAACCCTAACCCACCAATAATTGGGTTTAAACGGGTCGGCCCGCGTGTTTCGGCCCATTTTGACGGCTCTATTTGTATGGTGCATTGTATGGAGCAGGAACAAAATTCTTGTGATTTTAATTTTTAATTCTGTTAATAAGCTAGTAGAAGTGTAGAACACTTGTGCGATGCACGATCGGTGAATTTTGACGTGTGTAATTAATTATAGACAAATTTGAATTAAAAAGTAAACTTTTTATTTTATGTGAATCGTATAGAATTATACTCCGTACAATAATAATGTTTGACGAAAATGAAATGTATTCAATACGATCTATCAATGATTAAGGAGTAGTATACAAATGTTTATAGCCCCACAACATCCTCGGTTTCATTGTTTATTCCACTGTTATTTTTGCAATGTGAATTTTTAACGCTTGACATATTGATTACTCATGACACAATCACATAAAATTAAACATGACTACAAACATGTGTTTCCAACAACAAACCATACAACACATGACACCAACTAACTTTGACTTTTATTTGCAATCATGCCACAATAAGCCATAATTGGGAATCGTCGAATCCACGATTGGAATGGCAAGCTAACGTTTAAAGATATTAAAAATGCCTTGAAATTAACACATTTTGTCCTCCACTCACTCGCGCTAAAAATATTCTTCATTCTAGTAAAATCCAGAGATACTGTTACAAAAGGAAAATATTGAAAGAATCTTTATTATTTTGCATGGTGATGAATATGTCGAACCATGCCAAATATATACACTTGGAGCATGTGCCGTATACAAACAAGAAACGTACGTACAGGCTAACAACTAGGAGAATAAAAGGCAAGCTATTAAAGGCCTAAGATTCTAAGCATAAATAACTACGTACGTACAAGAATGAAACGCTACAAATAAAATGTTACAATAATTATAATACGTGTAGTAATAACGAAATAATAAATTAATAACCAACACCCCCCCTCAAGATGGAGCATGGGGGTCACAAATGCCCATCTTGGCAAGTAGATGAGAGAACTGTTGAGCGCCAAGTGCTTTAGTGAAGAGATCTGCGGGCTGTTCAGTAGATGGTGTATATGAGGGAGAAATTGTGCCGGCCTGAATATGATCCCGTACAAAGTGACAATCAAGTTCTATGTGTTTGGTGCGTTCATGGTACACAGGATTGGAGGCAATGTGAAGAGCCGCTTGATTGTCACAGTAGAGTCGCACCGGTTTGGAGTGCGTTATACCCAACGACTGAAGTAGGTTGCGCAGCCAGATAAGTTCACAGGTCACCGTGGCCATGGCGCGATATTCCGCCTCTGCGGAAGAGCGTGAGACCGTCGCCTGTTTTTTCGTACGCCAAGATATGGGAGAATCCCCAAGAGAAACAAAATATCCACTTACAGAACGACGTGTGACCGGACATGTTGCCCAATCAGCATCACAATAACCTGTGAGAGAGAGAGTAGAAGTTGAGCGTAACAAAATCCCTTGACCCGGGTGACCTTTCAAGTATTTCAACACACGTAGTACTGCTTCCCAGTGAGCCACCCTTGGACGTTGCATGAATTGAGAAAGGATATGAACGGAGTAGCTAATGTCGGGTCTAGTTAATGTGAGATAAATAAGTTTCCCGACTAGTCTTCTATAGCGCTCCGGATCCGAATAATAGGGTCCATCAACGGACTGTAATCGGTGGTTTTGCACCATCGGAAAAGAAACCGGCTTTGTACCGGTCAACCCTGTTTCAGCCAAAATGTCAAGCACATATTTACGTTGGCATAAAAAAATTCCACTGGAGTTTCGGGCAACTTCAATTCCAAGAAAATATTTCATAACCCCCAAGTCTTTCACTGGGAATGAGGTGGAAAGGTATTTTTTAAATTCCTGGATCAAGTGCTTATCGTTTCCGGTAATAAGTAAGTCATCCACGTAGACTAAGACACACAATATCCGATTTTCTCGCCGCAAGGTAAAGAGTGAATAATCGGCATGTGATTGGGAAAACCCATATGCTCGCAAAGAGGTACTAAGTTTGGAAAACCAGCATCGTGGTGCCTGCCGAAGCCCATAAAGAGAGCAAAGCAAGCGACACACCTTGCTTGAAGAGGAGGCTGAATATCCCGGAGGCAAGTGCATATAAACTTCTTCACGAAGATCCCCATGCAAAAATGCATTGTCGACGTCCATCTGATGTAGTTCCCAATGACAAGTGG